TCTTGCCAATGACTTCAATTATTTGTTCTAAAAATATGATACTGTTACCCCCTCTAGTTCAAAATGTTGTTACAGCATCAATTTGTGTCATTTTTTTCTTCTACAAAATGGGGGTATTGCCATTTTGGTGTGCCAAATAGTATTAATTTCGCTAGCGCTCTATTAATTTTCAGGTGCGTATTGCTAATTTTGTAGGTAAATGGTCTTAAATTTTACTTTATGTTTCTATACCGTAAAAAAATAACGCGGGTATATCAAGGCAGCACATGGGTAAGAATTCGGCGAATTTACATTTTTTTTATAATTATGTAACACTAATAAATTGGAAAAGTCAAGGATAAAACCTTAGCTATAATTATGGATTCTGTAGACTTCAATGGGATGTATACTACAGGAGGCACTTTACCACGACGTCACCACGTTACGTCGATAATGAGAAAATATGCCTTAATGAAAAAGTGCAAATTTTAACACTACCCCGGGGATAATTAGTTTCAATTTGTAATAATAGTTATGTAAAATCACCTCTGTACCATGAAAAGTGCTGCTAGAATCGCACTGCCCTATTATAGAAATAATTATTCAACAATTTCGGACGAAACCTACCCAAATTTTTTACATTTTGTTCATAATATTGAATAAAAAGCATCAATTCCCGTAAATCATACGACTCTAGCAGCACTTTACAAAAACAAAAGAATAATAACTTTAGATAGAAACAAAAATTAAGTTTCAAGATATGCAGCGTAGTGTTGAACTTTTGCTTAGTGCTGGTATGTCTCTGGAAGAAAATTTGCGGCAATTTAATCCATTTGTTATGGAGATAGCTACCATAGGCATTTATGCGTGCTTTTCATTCGAATTCAATAAATCAAATTATCTAAAATTAATCTAATCTATTCCACGACGAGTGCTGTAGTAAACTCCTTGCTGGAAGTTATAAAAATTAAAACAGACATTTAAAAAGATAGTTTTTTAAACAGTGATTAATATCAATTGATTCCCCTTATTTCCCTGAAAGCTTTTCATTAAGAACGCTTACGATAATAATAATAAACAAGATTTGTTAAATTCCGAGGTACCCTTATGGAAGATAATGGCAGCTAATGGTGAGGCTGAATTCTCTCAAATGCATGTGTGGAAATGAGCAAGGCTTTCCTTTTAAATCGAAAACAAGAATTTCTTCAAAGAAAACAAGAATTTATTTACACACAAAAAAAAATAATAATAAAGAAAAGACAATTAACTAATAAATCACACAATCACACACACGCACTCACTCAAATGATCGTACCAAAAAAAAATGTTATTTACAATGATAAAAAAAATATAAATGATCAAAAGATATCAAACTCCAAAGGTCACGTACAGAAGTGTTGGAACCAAAAAAGGTTTTCTTACAAGGAATACACAGGTGAAATATGACAGCCCTAGTTCCAACTGTTCAACAGTTATGACCAAGGTTAATATATATGAAGTGGGTCAAACACTTCGTATAAAGTAACAAGATAAAAAAATATATACACAAGTATGAAAGTCCTTGCCCCAAAATTTATCTTAAGATTAAAGTGGGATTTTTTTTTTGTAAAAGAACGTCACACTCAAAGGTCAAGAGGTCAAATATGATGTCCTCCAATAAGGAATACACTTGTGAAATATGAATACCATAACATAAGTGGGCCAAGTTAATGTTGAAAACAGATCCAGAGAGACAAACAGACATACGAATAAATAGACAAAAAGACGGGAAAAAGAGCAGAATTTGAACTTTTTTTATCCCCCTGTTGCATAACGGTTGCATATAGCCAGGTTCTTATTTCTTGCAGTTTTAAACTCATTAAAACAGTCATATCAAAATTAATGAGTAAAGGAAAAGTTTCGATGAGACTGTTTTTCTGACTCTAAAGAAATGTAATGAAATTTTGATATAAAAAATGATTTTTTTTATATTGCACATTTCAAATACTGCAGGTATACTCATTGTCCTATGTTTTTTAAAATAACCTTTTATTTGAAAAAAAAAATAAGGGAAAAATAGCAATAGCGCACAATTTGCACCGAGTACATTCCAATATAGGATGGACAACAGCTGCATATATCTACAAAATTAGAATTTATAGTTCTGTAGATATCGTAAACTTCCGGGAATTTTTAGAAAAGTTGGCCTATGATTTTAATATGTGTATGTATAAACGTGTAGAAGTGCGGCTTTTTATGAGGCCTATTCGTTTTCAAATCGGTGACGCTGTAATATTGATCTATAATGCATTAAATAAATTTAAGTTTACTTAAAAATTTTTATTGTAATCAATAAGTGTCCTCCTTGAATGTGAAAGTCTGAAATACTGTATAGCTGTGCTTTGTAATGTTAATTTTGTTCCATGTCTTACCGCGGTAGGAGAGGCAGAGATTGACCAATCAAAATCTGACCAATTAAAATCTAACAAATGAAATTCTGACCATGCGGTGCGTTACTCTGCCTTTTCTCCCATCTACATCCTTGGAGGACGGACGTTGTTTCAAAGTTTGTTATTTATTTTATCAAGATTTTGGTGAGTAAATTTATTTCATTATGTCTTCTATGAGTAAAACTTCAGTTGTCATTCTTGGACACTCAATTGTGCGTCGTTTTCATGAATTCTTGAAATATGGTGACATTAGGTATTCTGCGAGCCTTGGTCTGGGAGAAACGCATTCCGTTCTGTACAGGGGTGTGGGTGGAAGAAAGGTTCGTGATGTAATATCTAAGGATATGGAGAGCGTATTTGCTTTAGGTCCAGATGTAGTTGTTCTAATGATTGGGGAGAACGATATTAGTCCTAGTACCGACGCTACTTTGTTAGCTGCAGAAATTGAATCTGTGGTATCGGTAATGCATCGCCGCTATAAAGTTGCAAAAATAATTGTTTGTAAATTATTGCCACGATTTGGTGTTCGTTTTGGGTACAATAATATTGCAGACAAAGTAAACGCAATATTGAGAGATGCATTGCCAGCACTGGGTTACTGCGTATTTTGGGAACATGGGAATTATTTCGTTTCTCCCCGTGAAGGAGACTGCAGTCGTAAATTTGTTCACGACGGAGTTCATCTGAACAGTCAGGGGAATGTTCATTTATATAGGAGTATAAGGGGAGCTTTAATTTCAGCGAGAAAATAGATATACATCTAAGTCATAAAAGTTTGTCACCATTTTGTTACTTTTATTGTTCGTCAATTTTTCAGATAGATATTCTTTGAAATTATACAACATTTTGTTATTTTAACAGTACGATAGGCATTTAGGATGTCTAATAATGTAAAACGGATTTATCCTTTTTCTGTGAAGAAAATTTGGTTGGAAAAAGTATCAGCAAATTTGATTGTTTCGTTGTTGGTTTAATTTTTACAGAACTTTAGGCAGATACTAAGTACAAGTTTCAGGCAGTTTTTTGGTACTTGCCAAGTTTCAACCCATTTGGGTTTTTTTTTTTCATTTTGGTTTCGGCTTTTACCATGCAGATGGCGATTTTTTCCATCGTTTTTCTATTTGATATCTAGGAATGTATTTTAAAGCATTCCAGATTTATCCTTTTTCTGTGAAGTAAATTCGTTGGAAGAATGTCTGCCAATTAGTTTGTTTCGGTATTAGTTGATTACTAAAATATTGTGAATTTTTACAGTACTTTAGGCAAGTCCTAAGTACAAGTTTCAGGCAGTCTTTTGTACTTGCCAAGTTTAAACCCTTTCGGGTTTTTTCATTTTAGTTTCAGCTTTTACCATGCATATGGCGATTTTTTCCATCGGTTTTCATTTGATGTCTATGAATGTATTTCAATGCATTCCAGATCGACTTATCCCTTTTCTGTGAAGGAAAATCGTTGGAAATTGTCTGCCAATTCGTTTGTTTCGGTATTAGTTGATTACTAAAATATTGTGAATTTTTACAGTACTTTAGGCAAGTCCTAAGTACAAGTTTCAGGCAGTCTTTTGTACTTGCCAAGTTTAAACCCTTTCGGGTTTTTTCATTTTAGTTTCAGCTTTTACCATGCATATGGCGATTTTTTCCATCGGTTTTTATTTGATGTCTATGAATGTATTTCAATGCATTCCAGATCGACTTATCCTTTTTCTGTGAAGGAAAATCGTTGGAAATTGTCTGCCAATTCGTTTGTTTCGGTATGAGTTGATTACTAAAATATTGTGAAATTCTACAGTACTTTAGGCAAGTCCTAAGTACAAGTTTCAGGCAGTCTTTTGTACTTGCCAAGTTTGTACCCATGCGGGTCTTTTCATTTTAGTTTCAACTTTTACCCCGGCGATTTATTTTCCATCGCTTGTTTATTTGATAAGTCTAGAAGTGCATGTTGATGCCTTCCAGATTTATCCTTTTTCTGTATAAAAAGAAAACAATTTGTTGGAAAAATATCTGCCAATTTGTTGTTTCGGTATTAGTTGATTACTAAAGTATTGTGAATTTTTACAGTACTTTAGGCAAGTCCTAGGTACAAGTTTCAGGCAGTATTTTGTACTTGACATTTAGCTGTTTTGGTTTTTTAATTCATGTTAGGCCCACTTTTACCTTGATGATTTTTATATCGATTTCACTTCAAGTTGATTAACCTAATCATGTTCGATTCAATGGTCCAGATTATGGAGGAATTAAAAAAAAAAAAAAATAATAATAATAATAAAAAATTAAAAAAAAAAAAAAAAAAAAAAAATCCGCATTTCATTTTTGAAGGTACAAGTTTACTGTTTGTATTTGCTATCCCCTTTATATGATATTGAGTCTTGTACAAATAGTTGTTTTTCATTATTCATTTATTAAGGTTTTATTGTTCTGCAACTGCGCTTAGATACATTACAAGCCCTTCAAGTACCTCGTTTGTAGTAGTGATGAAAACAATTAACAACAGCCGAACAGGTTGTTATCTGTGGGAAAGGCACTACAGCCTTCTTGGGAATTTGACACGGTGCGAGGGTTGTCAGCTTCAAAGGTGGTGATTTATAACTTATGTCAACTTTTCGTTTTATGTGGCTGATAGTTCTTACTGATCAGCATCGGCTTAGTGATGTTGACTAATGGCTTTTGCAGTCGCACAATGGGTGCTTTTATTGGCTTACGGCAATTCGGGAAATACAGATCTGTTCCAAAACACTTTTGGTTCTACTATTTACTCTATTTCCGGAAAATTTTTGTCAACAACTGTAGGTGATACAGGGTGTTTTATCGAAAAGCGGCAGAATCAATGAAGTGAAAAATTAATTGTAAGAAAAGGTTCATCACTTTCTAGTTTGTTGTATTAGATTTACACATTGTACTGAGCAATGAAAGTGGTTATATAATGTAATGTTAAATATCAATATGCTCAAATACGTTGTCATGTAGGCTAACTGACTCTGACGTTGGGGCCTACACTGGCTACAGTGAGGTCTTACAATTCTTGTTCATTGTCAATTAAGGCCGAAGCCTTTTACAGTTTATATTTATACATAACATAATATATTGGACACATACTTCTTCCTTAATTTTAAATTTATATAGGTATATATTTACCAACATTATGCCAGGCAAAAGGATTAAAGCCCAACAGTCCAAAACAAGTCAGGTGAAAAGACCACGACGTGCACAGAACGGAACTGGAGAGTCCACTACCAATGATGCTGTGGCTGTCGATACAAGCACTCAACCCCTTGATGTTCCTCCTGAAACCTTGGCTGCATTAACCCAAACCATAACAAAGGCAGTCACGGAGAAGGTGTTAGCAGAGATAAAACCATTACTGCAACATCAGGGGAGTATCTCTGTTCATAATATGGGGGGAGAAAGGGGAAATAATGCTTCCACTACATCAAGCAATAGCTTAACAGCAGGTCCTTCTGGGTCAGTTTGTCAAATAACAAATAAGTCAGTAGATGCAAGTATCTCAGGATTGGTATCAGGCGCTGTAATCGAACACAGTTCACAGATTGTAGGTACTGAACTTCCACCTGCAGCAAATGTCGGTAAGAAATCAGGTTTTGTAAGCTCATCAGTACCGATAGAGGCAACTGTTTCTGACAAAATAAAATCTAAAATTTGGTCAAAACAATATGTTGATATGGCTCTGTTGTTAAAAAAGGAAAAGGGGAAAAGTAAGTATTCTATCAAGGTAGAGGAACAGGATCAGACAGGTAAGGTGGTAATCCACAATATGCGATCCACAGATGATGACGAAGTTAGGGATGGTTCGTTATCCCTGCATGACTGGGTAGCTGCGTGGAATAGGTATGTGACGATATATTGCATTAAAGATACACTTGCACAGCCAAAGCTTGCAAAACACATGGAATCAGTAAGGCAAATTGCAGAGGAAAAGGGGGACTGGAGAAAATATGATAAGGAGCTCAGGGAACTCATAGAACAAGGTGAGGTAGAATGGGGTGATGTATGTTAATGCTCGCCTCAAACAATCAGAAAAAAAGTCAAGCAAAATAACACCAGACCGTTCGTCATTTGGTGCGTATGAGGAAGTCCCTCAGGGGTCATGCTTTGCCTATCACAAAGCTGGAAGGTATTGTAGGCTTGGTTCATCATGCAAATTCCAGCACAGATGTTATAACTGTGGTGGCTTCCATCCAATCTCCATATGTAAAAAACCAATTCAACGGCCATTTCGTTTCTTGGACAAATCCAGAACCCAAAAACAATTTCAAGGAAATGGCACATCAACCAACACAGGTAATGCTAAATTCTCAAAGCCAACCTATCCCACAAAAGGGTCCAACTCCAGTAAATCCCAGTAGATTAGAGTACTGGTTGGTGGGGTATGACAAGGTAGAAACAGAATTTTTAGTTAATGGTTTTCGATATGGGTTCCACATTGGTTACACAGGGGAAAGTAGAAATACTCTTTCAAAAAATTTAAAATCGGCACTGGACTTACCAGAATCATTAGCAAAAAGTTAGAAAAGGAGATAAATTTGGGTAGAATTATGGGTCCTTTCAAAGAGAAACCACTGCCAATTTTAAATTGTTCCCCTTTAGGTCTAGTTAGTAAGAAAACAGAGGGTGAGTACCGTATGATCCATCATTTGTCATATCCGGAAGGTGAGTCTGTCAATGATGGCATACCCGAGGAAGAGTAATTTGTTCAATACTCTTCTGTAGAGGATGCTATTCAAAACATTAAGCAGTGTGGGAAAGGATCATATTGTTGCAAAACAGATATTTCTAATGCATTTCGAATTATCAACTTACATGCATCACAGTTTGAATACTTTGGTTTCACTTGGCAAGGTCATTGGTATTTTGACACATGTCTTCAGATGGGTTGCAGTTCTTCCTGTCGTATATTTGAAAGGTTTAGTACAGCACTTCAGTGGATTGCACAAGAAAAATTAGGAATTAAATTTATGACTCATGTTTTAGATGATTTTCTAATTGTTGACAAATCTGCGACAGAGTGCCACAAAAAACTTGTGGCATTTTTAACAGTTTGCGCCGACATAGGTGTACCTATAAAAAGTATAATGTATTTGGTAAGAGAGTTAGTGCTAATTTGTTTGCAGTCTAACATTTTGTTTAAAGCTAGGCATCTGGGTACCAAGGAAAATATTCTATGTGACTGCTTGTCTCGTTTGAAGGTGCAGCAGTTCCATCAACTTGCTCCTTGGATGGACAAAGAACCAACGGTGATTCCCAATCTGCTAACATTACCTCCTTAGAACCAGTCTTGAGGAACCTGTTGACTTCAACATTGGCACCAGCTTCCACTCAAGCATATAAACGGGCATGGTCTATTTATAGAAATTTTGCAAACAAATTTGATATGAGTAATGATCTTCCGTTGTCTCAGGAAACTTTGGCTTTGTTTATCTCTTATTTATTTGCTGAAGGTTATGCAGCCTCCTCTATCGTGTCATTTATTTCATCAATAGCATATATACATAAAATTAATAATTTGCCTGACAATACATCATGCTTTCTCATTCAGAAACTATTAAGTTCCTGTCGCAAATCAAGACCTTCAATGGATATTCGTTTACCCATAACCATAGTAGTTCTGCCTAAAATTTGTGATGCTTTAGAACATACAATATCGAACATATATAAAAGGGCATTGATTCAAACAATGTTTTTATTGGCTTTTCACGGCTTCCTCAGAATAGGAGAGATAACATCAGTTGGCACTGCTAATAAGGTTTTACAAGTTTCACAGATTACTTTTCAAAAAAGTAAAGTTTTGATTCACTTTCAAAATTATAAACATTCTGATGGTAAAGTTTTTACTCTTACAATTAATTCTTGCAACTCTTTAAAATATTGTCCAGTGGGGGCATTAGAACACTACATTAAGATGAGAGGGAGGACCTATGGGCCCCTTTTTTACTACCCCCAAAACACTGCAGTCACAAGGCAAGAATTTTCAAACATATTAAAGCAAAGCCTCATGTTTTGTAATTTGGATGTCAATAGATTCAAAGAACATTCCTTTCGAATCGGAATGGCCTCTTACTGTGCATCACGAGGGATGAGCGATAGTCAGATTAGATTCCTGGGTAGATGGAAATCGGATGCATTTAAATATTACATAAGACATGTGACACAATGTTGATATATGCTTGAGTGGAAGTGGATCCTCGGAGCAGATTTGTTTTGTTATTTGTGTAGGATCTCGACTTTGAAGTGATTTTCAAGAGTATTAACGTATGGGGGCATTGTTTATCCCTCATCCAGAACAATAGTGCCTAAGTCATTTGTTAATACTTAGGCTGGTAGGTGACAAGATCGCATGCATATAAACATTTAAAATGGTGCGGAAGCTTACAGTGTGAAATATTTTCCAATGTGGGGGCATATGTCTATCCCTCATCTAAAACATTGCTCGAGACAGTCCTTAAATGAATACCACATACATGTGAACTTAGTAAAAACAGCGAATAAGATGATGATTTGCGACTATAAGGGCATATGTTTATCCCTTATCGGACATTCTACATAGTGATTCGTTAATACTTGGGACCCACAGACATAATACACTAAGAATAGTAAACTCATTTGGTTGTGATGGGGGCATATGTTTATCTCTCATAAGACACTTGTGAATTCAAATTGTTGTTTTATTGCATTACGGGACATATGTTTATTCCCATGTTTGTAAATTTTACTCACTTTTGGTATGATTTATGTTTGAGGTGTGTTGCCATTTATTTTTCCTTTATGGGTCTGAACTTTCCCTAATTCGGTCAAGTCAGTGGCGTTTTCAGACCCATTTTCATGATTTTTCTGTTAAATCTAAGTGGTAATTACTGTAAATTTGGATTATCTCCCTTTACAAAATTGGTTTTATTTCTCATCTTGATATCTTGTGTCTGCTAAAAATTATATGTCATTATTAATAATACTTTTGAGAATTTCAAACAAATTATTAAACGTCACAAAGGTGGCAACACACGACAAACTGTTTTACAGACTTTTTACTCATTGAAGGAGGATAAGATAAGGTGTTCTAGCTTTGAAAGGATTATGGAAAGAAATTAACCAGTTGATGGGTAACCGGGGTATCAAAATACTTATTGCATTAAAATAAATAAATTTAAGTTTACTTAAAAATTTTTATTGTAATCAATAAGTGTCCTCCTTGAATGTGAAAGTCTGAAATACTGTATAGCTGTGCTTTGTAATGTTAATTTTGTTCCATGTCTTACCGCGGTAGGAGAGGCAGAGATTGACCAATCAAAATCTGACCAATTAAAATCTAACAAATGAAATTCTGACCATGCGGTGCGTTACTCTGCCTTTTCTCCCATCTACATCCTTGGAGGACGGACGTTGTTTCAAAGTTTGTTATTTACCTCCTGCCGCCCCGCCTCCGCCATTTCTTTGTTGTTTAAATTTATGTTTTAGCGTTTTCAGACCCATTTTCATGATTTTTCTGTTAAATCTAAGTGGTAATTACTGTAAATTTGGATTATCTCCCTTTACAAAATTGGTTTTATTTCTCATCTTGATATCTTGTGTCTGCTAAAAATTATATGTCATTATTAATAATACTTTTGAGAATTTCAAACAAATTATTAAACGTCACAAAGGTGGCAACACACGACAAACTGTTTTACAGACTTTTTACTCATTGAAGGAGGATAAGATAAGGTGTTCTAGCTTTGAAAGGATTATGGAAAGAAATTAACCAGTTGATGGGTAACCGGGGTATCAAAATACTTATTGCATTAAAATAAAAATTATGACTGAATTTATGTCTGATCACCCTCATTTTATTCATTTTATTCAAGATTTTTATTAGTTTCAATAATAGCGTTATCTACATTCATACATACAGCGAGATCAAGGTACATGTACATGTATATGCTTAAAGTTTCATAATGACAAGTTTAGTCACACATTACTTTATGTTTATAAAATTTATCAGAATTTACTGTATTTAAGAGTGTATGGAAATCAGTATTCATTCGAAGATGGAGATCCATTTGTACAGTTTGACCATGACGTCATAAATAAAATCCCTAAGCTCTGCCTAGGCTTATGCACTTATCGTATTCCTTATCCAACATATACCTGCGTCCTTTGTACAATGGTATTGTGTGATTTAACAGTCTTCAAAAACAATGTAATGTGTTGGATACTGAAGAAAAATACTAGTATTTGATAAGCAAATCATTAAAAAAATATACCCACTTTTTTTCCGAAAAAGTAGTCTCAAAATTTGCAGTGTAGAGAAAAAATATAACTTGAAGAATGTTAAATTCAACTGATACTGTAAAAAAAATGAAGAAGTGTGTCCTTATGTGCATGTTCAAAGAAAAAACAAATACACTGTAAATGTTATGTATAGCTGGAATCACATTGTCTTTATATGAGAATTCTTGTTATCTCCCAAGTTAAAGCAAGAAATTTAGTGTTCTTCAAATCCACATTTTAAAATCGTTTTCTTGACAAGCACTTTTAAGGTTTTAACTTGTTGTACATCTAAGCATAAAATATACATAAGTGTCCCTAATAATTATTTTTTTTTTAGAGTGGTGAGTTATCGTTTCTGAAAAATGGTATTGGTACCATATCTAGTTTCCTAAATTAGGCCAGGTAAAATTAATCTTTAGATTCTCATCCTAATTTGCTAAAAAATTGGGGCGGGTGGGCGGATTTTATTTTTTATTTTTTATAATTGTTATTTTATATATAGGCCTAAATATCAACAAAACAATGGACGCCCCATACACATTTTTTTCATACCTTAATGCAAATATGAATAGATTCAATTCTTTTCATATTCTTTTAAAATATTTAAAGAAAATTTTTGCTTTAAAAATTAAATATTTATTGTTGATTAACAAATTATCAAGTTCACATTATACGGCACATCCTGAACAAAATGAGGTAGGGATACCAATAAATTGTGTATGCGTGACTTCTTATTTTGCAAAATCTATAAAAATG